TAGATATGATCAGATTTATTGTTCATGTGTATGAATTTCTCAATAATAAATAAAAAATTAAGGATATAATTTTCATGGGAATAAAATATGTAAATGGTCATGAGAAGGTATGTATATCTGAGTGGCTCATTCCTTCATCTCTTGAAGTCCTTCCTCAAATGCCACATTTCCAGTTAAGTCAACTGTGACTGTGCCATTTAAAACTGCACTTCTCTATCAGAATTACTCACTTGTCCCATTTACCCATTTCCTTCTAAAAGACTTAAACTTTATATAAGTAGATTCAGAGATTTACATGAGAACACAGCAGGGCACAATAACCAACATTTTCTTGAAAATTATTATTACCTAACTCCCTGCACTTTCCCTTTCCATGGGGACAAGTATTTTTGTCTGATTTGTTTATTCTTTTATATTTATATATAAAGCCTAAAACTGTCCCTGGGGTCTCTTGGTTCTTGTCTTCTTGAGAAGGAAAAAAAAATTCAGTCAAGACTGGATGATTTAAGCAGAAGTTTATTTAACAAAGTAAGCAAAATAAACACTCCAAAAAGAGATTGTAGTGGACCGCCTCAAGTCCAGGAGGTTCTGCACTTGGATTTTTAAAAAGGTTTTCATGTGTATTATGAGATTAAGTGGTAGGTTCATGACATAAGGTAACCCTCCCAAATCATGGTGGAACAGATCTCCGTTTTAGAGCACTGGTTCCCATGCTCCTCTAGAAAATCCCACCAATAGAGAGTATCAGAAGCACAGTATGGGGCTGGAGAAATGGCTAAGAGGTGACGAAGAGCTCTTGTTGCTCTTGCAGAGGACCCAAGCTTGTTTCCAAGCACCCACATGGCAGCTCACGACCATCTGTGAGCCCAGTTCCAGGGCACCCAATACCCTCTTCTGACCTCCTCTGGCACCAGACACGCACGCTGTACACATATATCCATGCATGCAGGCAAAACACCCATACACATTAAACGAAAAGCCACAATGCAAGTAATAGTATAATGATGTCAGGTCTTTTGAGAACGTAGACCCCCTGTGAATGCACGTGTGCAGGAGAATGCCCCCTGGCATCTTAATGTCCAACAAAGCTTGAACAACGTTAAGTGCATTTTCAAGGATCATCATCATCATCATCAATCTATAGTGATTAAAACACTAAGAGGTCATGAAAATCAAGTGGGAGCTGAGTGTGTCAAACATCTACTATCCCAGCACTGTACAAGGGAGGAGGCAAGAGAATTACAGGTTCAATGGCAGCTTGGGCCACTCAGTGTCTCAAAAACTATAAATAACAAGTAGGTAAGTAAGTAAATAAATACATAAACAAGAAAAAACTCAATAATTGAAAAAAGAAAAATGTAGGCAAGGCGTGGTGGTATATGCCTTTAACCCCAGCATTTGAAAGGCAAAGGCAGGCAGATCCCTATGGGTTCAAGGCCAGCCTGGTCTATATATCTAGTTCTGGGCCAGCCAGAGCGACAGAGTCAGACTTTGTCTCAAAACAACAGCAAAACAAACAAGCAAACAACAACAACAAACACAACTCTAACTACACAACATGTTATTTAGAGATTATACAATCCGTGGTAACTTAATTTAGAAATAATGAAGTCACACTCATCTTCACAAGAGGACTACACAATGGTATAAAACAAGAAAGAATTGGTTGCAGTGAGATTTTTAAGTCTTTGTTTATTGTTTTTGTGGAGCAGGGTTTCCCTGTGTATCCTAGGCTGGTCTCATATTCACCCGTCATGTGGAATGTTTCATGATTTTTATTTTATTGTTCTCTGGTATGTATCATATAGGATATAACATTTTTGCTTTAAAAAGACTTTAAAAAATAAATCACTTTATGTGAGCGTTTGCCTGAATGTATGTACACATATCACATGTGTTCCTGGTACCCTAGGATGTCAGAAGAAAGTGTTAGATCCCTTGAAACTGGAGTTATTGATGGTAGTAACCATCATGTGGGTGCTGGGAACAGAGCCGAGGTCCTTGCAAGAGCAACAAGTACTCAATCACTGAGCCATCTCTCCAGCCCCATAGGATAAACTTTAAAAGTCATCTTAGGGATGAAGGTGTAGTTCATCAGGAGAGTATCTCAGAGGCCCTGGGTTTCACCCTTAGCATCTCCAGAATAAAATAAAATAACGTTAATATAAAAGCCTTTCTAAACACAACAAAAGCTCAGAATATTTTTTTTTTAAAAATTGAAAGACCAGACAAACTTCATCACAACACCGTTCAAGACAACAGCCAAACAGAACAAACACGTACAGCTCAGAGCAAAAGACCGAGCGAGTTCTTTCAGATAAACCACCACGAGACACCAGTCTTAGAGAAGACTGAGCACAAAACACGAACAGAGCGTTAAAAAGAAACATGAGGGTGTGCTCAGCCGTACTCAGAGAACGAGAAACGGAAGTCGCTGGGACACGACTGCCGGCGTACCGATGGAGACAGGAAGTCGGGGAGCCATTGCTCGCTGCATCCGTCCATCAACCCCACGCTTCCTGCCAGTCCTTGGAGCTTTCACTACTGAATCACTATCTATAATCCCGAATGCTGCTTCTGTATACATACAGTCCTTGATGATTTCGGTATCAATACAGATGTTTTTCCTTCCGATACTCTCTCCACCCCATTCCTGGGGCATTTTCTCCTCTGTTGACATTGCTCCCCTCTTTGGCTGGCCTTGTGGCACAAGATTCAACACAAACACTCCCACCTCTCGGCAGTCTACTCTCCAGCCCCCTTCTCACTTCCTGCCTAGTCCCTCATCTCCAGCAATTCCTCGGCCCCATCTGGACCTGCATCCCCCCTCCTCACTCCTCAGTCCACGCGAGTCCCAGCTCATCTCTGTAACGACATCTTGCCCACGTCTTCCACTCCTTTACCACCCCAGCTTCCACTGTGCTCAGCTGGCAACCCCTCCCCTGGGGCTCACATAACCACTCCCCTGTTCTGCAGCTCTACCCCTATGGCCCAAGATGGCCAGAGAAAGCTCTCTCTACATGGATGACCACAGAACTCGAGCAGGCCCTACCGCTGCTTGGTAATGGCGTGAGATTTCCCCAGAGCATTCATTCTCCTAGATAACCATGTCCACCCCCCTAGTGTCTCCCTCTCCATCTTCATCCTCAGCTGTCCACCTTCCTTCTTCACTGAGAAAACAAAGCCGTCATAAAACAAAGCCAAACGGCAATCAGAAGGGAGTATCAGCAAACCCCCACATGGACCCACTTCAGAGTCCACGTTCTCTGTCTTCCTCGTTCCTTCCCCGGCCCAATGGTCAGTGTTCCCGGATAAAGCCAGTGCATCACACTAGAGCCTGCCTCTTTCACTAGCTGTAGGGCAGTAGCGTAGAAATCCTCCCTTCTCTTTCTTGCCTATACTGGATGTCACACTGGGGTTCTCCTTGTTCTTACATTGTTCCACCAGCCTGCTTCTCTGACCCCTTCAAGGTTGTTCTGCGGTTTCTGAACTCTACAGTCCTATTCTCCTTGTACACTGTAGGGAGCGAGTTAAGTCCTGACTGTATGTACATTGTTGATCTGGGCATCAAAAACTCCAGCAGCTCAGTCCCACGGGAGGGGCAAAGCCTTCCCCAGGTGAGGCTGAGAGGGACGGAAAAGCCTTCCTTGGGTCTGAGTTCGAAAGCTGACAGATGCACAGACCCGCCCCACCCCCACCCTCCAATGTTCACATCCCGGAGACTGCTCCCCTACAGAGATTGCTCCTACTGCGGTTAGCTAAACCTACCTCCCTGTGCAGCTGTAACAACCCCGACTGCTTGTTTATCTGTAGGTAATAGCCTCAGCCCCTTGTGTAGCTGTATGCAATAACCCCGCCTCCCTGCTGAACTGTACATGTTAAACACACTGAGCTTCTGGGATGCCAAGGCTCCTCTGAGATCGAGCACAGAACATCCAGTCCCAGCTTTTCTGTGTGTCCATGGGTTTGTCATCCCTTCCTTCCCTGGCTGCCCCAGTTAGGTCAATCCCTGGCATTGTACAAGGGCTCGGCAATGCACCTCAACTCCACTCAAATATTCCTGTTGAGGTCACCAACGTCTTTGCCGCTGCTAAGTCTAAGGATCAGTGTTGAGCAGTATTGGTTACAGTTGCCTACTGCCTCCTCCTTGGGAGCATTTTTTTGACGTAAGCTCCAGGGCACGGCACTGCCTTGGTTTTTCTCTTACCTCACTGGCAGTTTCTATTCATTCTCCTTTGCTTGTTCTACGCCTCCATGACATCTCAATACTGGACACCTCAGGTCCAGCCCTTGGAACCTCCTGTTTTCTATCAACTCTTGTTTCCCCCATCCCATTCATTCACATTTGTGTCCACGGCCTACATCCTTCCCTTAGGACGCCCACTTGTGTTCTCAGCTTCTTCTAAAACTTCCCACCTGGGGGTTTAGTTAGCCTCCCAAACATGGTATGGCTACCACCAAACTCCTGGCATTTCACCCTGCATTTGCTCTCTCTCCCCCAAATCTCCTTTCTAATGGACTCCCTCCATTAGATCCAGGTTGATCAGACCTGCAACCTTGTGGACACCTTTGAATGTCATTTCTCTCTCTGTGTCTTTGACCCTTGGCTTCTCTCCTTCCATAACAACATCCAGATCTAAGACGGGTGTGGGAGTGCACAGATGTGTTCCTAGCACTCAGGAGTCAAGTCAAACAGCGCAGAGCACCAGCACCTTGCCCACAGCCACCCCACTCTCTGTCTCTCTCCTCAGATGCTCTTCCCCATCCTGTCACATCCTTGTTCTTCTCTGGTTCCTTTGCTAAAGGAGCTGGGGACTGCAGCTCCAGAAAGCTTGTCAGAGGGGCTTCTCTCAGCGGGCTATGGCTGGCACTTCCTTGGCCCCTTAGGGAGTCTCACTGGCCTCAGAGCCACCCACACAGCACCCTAGGGAACCTCTCTGCTTCCGCCTCTCTGCTGAATGCTCCCTGGCTCAGTCCAGGCCCCCTCCCCAAGCCTGTACCTGTCAATAATGACGGGGTCTGAAGGTGTCTCATTCCGGTTACCACAGCTCTTGCGGTCACAGCAGCGACTGAAGAAGAGATGAAGAAAGACAGAAAGAAGAGATGAAGGAGTGTGAGAGGACAGGCCCAGTGAGGGATCAGATGTCCTGCTCAGGGTGTAGAATGCCTATGTGCAGGGGATCTCCTCCGGGGACTTGAGGGAGAAAGCCAGGAAGGCTCTCAGCAGGACACTTGGCAGCTCAGTTCTAAGGATGAGGCTGGCTGTGAAATCTTTGTGCCACCAAGCAGTGGGTCACCTACAGGGTCTCCTGGATGATCACAAAGTGAACCTGCCCCTGTAAGCAGCACCCTGACCTAGACATGCCCAGTGCCCAGCACTCCAGAGGCCTTCTCTAGCTTTTAAAAATTATTATTATTTTAATCATTTCCCTTCCCAGGGTGGCCACTGTCTCAACTACAGGTTTTTAAACGTATTTTCTTTTCCACATATTAGGAACTGTCTCCGAGGCACAGCAGGACTGGTATATCCAGGGAAGGCCTGCAGAAAATGTTAAGCTCTAGAGTAAAGGGAAGGGAGAGCTAAGAGCTATGTCCCCCTCCCCACCCCCAACTTATCTACCAAAGAGCTGCCCAGCATTTCTCACATCTAAGCAGCTGGGTTTCCTCCACCAGGCCCCTAAGCAAATCCCAGAGGCCTCTGTGTTGCCCAAGCCAGCCCTGTGCCCATCTTCCCAGAGAGTTACTCCCTGGAGCTTCATTAGTTAAGCTTCCAGAAGCAGTAGGAGGCCTCTCTTGCAAAAACACTTAGAGACATCACATAAACAGGCCAGGCTAATGGGGCCTCAAGGAGTCTCTCCCCTGTCCCTGCTTCCCCAGGGGACTGGAGGTGTTGTGAACTAGGAGCAGGGCTTGACAGGGACCCTGAGCTACATCGCGACAAGGTACATTGTCTTGCCAACACCAGGGTGCATCCTGACACTGCCCATCTTACCTGCACATGATCTCGTGAGTGAGCAGCACTCGGCACATTTCAGGATTCTTGTCCTGCCCCTCATAGATGATAGCCTGGGGAGGAGGAAACGGGCAGGCTCGCGGGGGAGGGGGGCTCCTCTCAAGGCCCTGAGCCTGTGAGCCCGCCCTGGTGTCTGCCAAACCCAGGCCCAGGAGAGGTCCCCACCCCAAGAAAGATCATGCATGCCCTTTGCCCTGATCTGAAGGGTCCATGGGTGCAAAGCAGGGTCCATCGGAAGCCTGGCTGCTCAGATGGAAGAGAGCCTTCTACCCTCACATAGGACCATCACCTAGGTGGCAAGAATGGCGTCAGCTCTGCAGATCCTCTGCTGGAGGAGCCAACAGGCTGCTGGTCCCACCCTGCATCATGCTCGCATCCTCAGCCACTCCTGGCATCCTGCAGGCTGTTCTGTGCGTACGGTGGGCTCCTGCCTCTCTGCTCATGTACACTGTCCCTCTCTGCACTGAACAGGCCACTGAGCTGCCTCTCCCCGCCTCCCTGTCGTCACTTCCCCAGCTCGGACCAGTACCAGTACGTTGCCCTTGCACCATTGTATCCCATCTTCCCCAGTCTCCCAGGTCCACCCCCCATGCCCCCCCTAGAATTGAGCTTCCGGAACTGTAAATCTGGCTTCCTAGTCCCCTAGCCTCTGGGCCTTCCAGCCTTCCTCTGTTTGTAGGTCCTTTTCTCTCTAGGCTCCCACATTGCCACCCAGTACCACTGCCCCTGCTTGGCCTGCCTCCCCTGTCACAGTGACCGAGAGCTCTCTGGGCATAAGCCACTCTGCTTTGCTTTGGGACTAGGACTGGGTGGAGGCTGCCGGAAGCACCTGTCCATACACGAGCTAGCGAGCAAGTTGCCACGTTTCATTCCAGACCTGCTAATCTGGCCCGTTTACAACTCAAGCTCCTTCTCCCAGCGTGTTTCTGAAAGCCCTGGGACCTGGTCCGCCTCTCACAGTGCATCAGGTTGGTTTTCCTGAGCTGCTGGGTCAGCCCCAGCCTCCTTCCTGGGACCACGTGCTGAGTGTCGCCTGCGGTAGGAGCTGTGGGACGCACACAGGAAGACCCAGTGTGCCCATCCCCCTTTACAGTTGGTGATGACACCAGAGGATTTTCTCTGGAGAACGGCTCTCAGTGGAGTTACCTCTACTGTGTACTCTCGCCTTCGGCACGGTCCCCAGACAACAGCTGATGGACAGAGGATGCAAAATGCTGCCTTCTGGCTCTGAGGGCACCAACTCCAGTGCTATTTCTAGTCCAGGGATGCCTGTGGACTGGGCTAAGGCTGGACTCTACCTGAGACCACTTGCTTCCCGGGTATCCCCCTGCCCTGCTCCCTCTCCTCTCCTCCTGAGGAGGGCGTTCTCTCCTCGCCAATAAACTGCACGCCCCTGATTTTGTGCTGCTAAGGGATAGGACTTAAGCCAGGGTCTTTTCATAAGTACTTTCTTTTCCCGACTGGAGAGACAAAGCACCATCTTCTTGCCATAGGCAGGGAACTGGGAGAGCCAGAGCAGCGGGAGGAAAGGTACAAAGGAGGCCGAGAGGGGTTAAGGATGTTTACTCAAACAAGCCTAGGATGGGCCCGAGCACTCACCTGCTTCGACATGGAGTCGATGAGACGCACGTAGAGGTCTTGCTCTGTCCGAAGACCTAGGGTGGGAAGGTAGAAAGAACTTGCTATCGGGGGAGGATGAGGGTGCCTCAGATGACTAGACCCACACCCTTCCCAGCCCTGATGAGGGTGCTATGTGCCTCAGGGTGCTTCAGACTGCTTACCATTGTTATACACCAGCCGAAGGCGGTAATGGATCCCATTGTTGGTCTTTTCTGTCCCAGGCTCCTGCAAGGACAAGACAGGAGGATGTTCAGGTGCTCAGGGCCTTCAAGCTCCTTCACCCATAGCCTCCTTCATCCCTACCCTCCACCCGAATCCCATGGTCCTTCTTTGCCTTCCAGCCATCGGCCCATGCTTTCCCACTCACTCACCACCTATCTATCCACTCAGCGCCCCCAGTGTGCTTGTGTGTGTGTGTGTGTGTGTGTGTGTGTGTGTGTGTGTGTGTGTGTGTGTGTGCTTGTGCGTGTGTATGTGGCCAGGTCCCTGAAACCCCTCCATCACCCCCAGTGCTAGTCCCAGGCCAGCCCATGAGCCTCTCACTCGATCCTTTTCCACGAAGTCGATGAAGGCTGTGCGCTCCACCTCCACGGGCTGCCCCTGCCGGTCGTACATGGCCAGCACGAAGTGGAAGAAGTTGGACTTCCTGAGGTTGGAGGGGGGCTGCTTTTCAAAATGTGCTCTTGCCAGGCCCACGCCACTGTGGGAGGAAAGGAACTGGAAAACCACGGGAAGGGCCCTCCGGTGAGCAAGACCCCAGTGGTTCCGGCCAGGTAGGTGGCTGGCCAGGAGTAGGCTTGGACATGCCAAGAGGTCAAGTGAGATGGGCCCTTCCATCCTGGACAGGACCACATCAGTTCCACAGAGAGGCCTCCAGCACTGAGGCTACCCCAGCGTGCTTCTTTGAGAAGAAGGAACACCACAGTGCTGCATGAAGGCATCGGACAGGCTCTCCCCACTGCAGGCTTTTCCCTGGGACCCATATTTAGGAAGGCTTATCTCTAAAATGGTGTATAAACTGTAAACCAATTCACTGTACTATCCAGAGGCATTTAGGAGTGTGTACTAGGGCATCAGGGGGCACCTTGGAGATACCGGAATGAATTTCCTACTGCACCCCAGCTTTCAGCTAGGGCTTCACTGAGACGATGGCATTGCCTGGGACATGATGTCCATCAGACTAGCAGGGACACTGAGCTGGTTCCAGGCTATTAGCCTGCTCATCGTAGACCTTGGACTATAGATGGGCAATACCCTTTCCGGGTACAGAGGGCATGACTCCAGCTTCAGGACATCATGGCCTCTGGGCAGGAGGATCTCCTAGTTTGGCCTTAAAAAAAGGCTTTCTCCTGGCTCATCAGAAACTTTGCTCAGAAGCAAGGAGGACGAAAAGAGCAAGGCCTCGTTTACCAGATTGCCCATAAACTCCAGTGCAGCACTAAAACCCGGGACCATGCAGCACGGCACGTAGCACTGGAATTAAGTGCCTGGAAGAGGCAGGAATTTGCAGGCAGGTCAGAGTGTGGGCACCCTAGTCCCAAATATGTCACCATGTAAAAAGAAGCAAAGGAGGAGCATATTGGTTGGGGGCTTCTTTTTGTTTGTTTGGTTGAGTTCTTTGTTTTGTTTTGTTTCAGGGTGTTTTGGTTTTGTCTTGTTTTATCCTTGTTGTTTTTGAGATAGGGTCTCACTCTGTAGTCTAGGCTGGCCTGGAACTCACTATGTAGTTCAGGCTGGCCTCAAACTTGCTGTGATCCTCCTGCCTCAGCTTCCCAAGTGCTGGGATTATGATATGAGCCACCACACCTGGCAAAAAAACAAAAAAACAAAAAACAAAAACAAAGGATAATAATTCTTTTTGTGGGATATGGCGGAGGCTTACAGAGACGGCGGCTGTCCCGCCACCCCAGGGAGTAAGTCGAAACTCAGCAACCGGAAGAGGCAAGAGAGCAGAACAAACAGGCCCAGAAATATCTGTAAGGGCAAGTGTCCGTGGAGCAGATTTCAAAAGGTGGAGCACTGGGTGAGGGATGTAGCTCAGTTGGAAAAGTGACTATTGCCTGTGGTGAAGGAAGCCCTGGCGTCGATACCTAGTGCCACGTAAAACCAAGATGGGTGGCGCACACCTGTAATCCCAGGGCTCTGGAGGTGGAGACAGGAGGACTGGAAGTTCATCCCTGGCTACATAGTGAGTTGGAGGTGAGCATGAGATACAGGAGACTCTGTCTCAAAATAAAGAAAGAGAGAAAGGAGGAGAAAAATGAAAGGCAATGGGAATAAGTGGAACGTGGCTGGGGAGCTGGCTCTGTGCTTAAAGCACTTGTCATGTAAATAGGAGGACCTCAGAGACCCAGAACCCCATAAATGCGGGTGGCTGTGGCACAGTTAGGAAGGCAGGGACAGGGGTGCACATAACAAGCTGGCTAGCTAGCCTGGCCACATGGATGAGCCCTGGGTTTGATGGAGAGACCTCACCTCAGTGAGTAGGTTGGAGAATGATCAAGGAAGACTCCAAGGAAGACATCCACCACAGGCCTCCACATGCACACATCTGCATGTGCCCCCACACACGCCAAGATGCACGTGCACGCGCCCGCACACCACATAGACACATTCATCGGGGTGTAAAGCAAGGAGAGAAAAGTTTGCATTGGAAGTTCCTGCCAGACTGTATAGGAATATGAACACCAGGAACAGTTTAGACTTTCTTCTCCAGGCCAGGCAGGCATACCAAAGCATGTTTCTTACAGGTTTCCTTATCTTCTCCCTAGAGAAGAGTGCTGTGGCCACACTGCTGACTCACAGCACTTATGGGAGTCTTTGAAGGCCTTTGGACACCCTGTAAAAATGGACTCCACTTCAGTTTGCTCAGGCTAGTATTCCCCATGCATTAGGTACCCAGACTCCAAGATGATGGTTCCCAAGGATTCTGCCTTTTGATACTCATGTGCTTAAGCAGGTTCCTCTCACAATGTGTTCCTGCTGGTCCGTGTGGTCAATAGAATATAACAAAAATAACAGCACATGACTTCCACATTTTAGGTCCTGAAAGCATCGTAACTTCTGTCTTGTTCTTTTTCTTGACCCATCCCACAGGGGAAGCCAGCTGCCATTAAAAACCAGTGCCCAGGACTGGGGATGTGGCTCAGTTGATAAACTGTGTGCTTTATAAGCATGAAGACCTGACTTTGGACCCCGAGAACCAACATAAAAAACCGAACAAGGTGTCCTATGCCTGCAATCCCAGAGATGGCAAGATGGGAATCAGAGATGGGCAATCCCTGGGGCTTGCTGGTCATGGGTGAAGTCCCCGGCCAGTGGGAGACCCTGTCTCAAACAGAAGGTAAAAGGAGCATGAGGAATGGCATGAGGCTGTGCTCTGACTTCCCTGTGCGCTCCACGAATATGCATCCATAACTGAAAACACACTCATGTGCACACACACACACACACACACACACACACACACACACACGCACACGCACACGCACACGCACGCGCACACGCACACCAGCATCCCAGATGCCCACCAGGCATGCTTCCTTGACAATGACTACCAAATGCATTGCTGTTTAATATTTTCTCCCACATAATTTAAAATTGGGAGCCAGTGAGCCGGCTCATTGGGTAAAAGGCTCTTGCTGCCAACCTGAGTTTGATCCTAGAAACCTACAGGGTAGAAGGAGAGGACCAACTCTCACCTGAGCTCCATGGTACATGTGAGCACCACCACCACCCCCACCACTCCCACCCCCACCCCGCCAAACACACACAGTTAAATAAATACAAGTGAAATTTAAAAAATCAACTTACTGTTTTCTTTGGCTTCATACTAGGCCACAGTATCTAGGCTGTCGGGGAATGAGGCGATTGCTATGTTTGCACTCATATAGAGTACAGCAAATAAAAAGTGAACTGTTCTTTCTCCTGGATACATTCTTGAGAGCCACAGTGGCCATGGGAATGGGTGATCTAGGAGGCAGATGTCTTGTCTCCCGTTCAAGAGGACAAGAGGCGCCCAACACTCTTCCCTACCAGAAGTTCCCTGCTCTGGGGGTATTGTCCTCTCTCCATTCTTTCCCATTCCCTCCCGGCTAGGTTGCCTTTCAAGTGGGGACTTGACCACCCTCTGTCAGCTTCTCAACCCAGCAGAGAGGCAGGGAAGCCTGAGGAGAGCTTTTGATCGCAGCGGGTCTCTGATTACTATGGATGAATATGCTAATGAGACATCAACTCTGAGCTCCACCCTCCTGCTTACAAGGCCAGCTTAGCTTGAACTCTGCCAGGGGTGGCTTCAAGAACCACCAAGTGGAACAGATGACCGAAGGGGGTGGCCTTGTAGAGCAATCCCATAACTGCTGTCCTATATTCCTGTGCTGAGTCTGGTCGGCTCTCAGACAGTGGGCAGGAAGTAGAGAGGAAGGCCTTGGCAGAGGAGAAGTGCATGCTGAGAGAGTGCAGAATCCCCAGGCCATTCAATAGGGCTTTTCTGTGCAAAAGCCTGATGGTGACCTGAGTTTCCCTTCCCACCCCAGTCCCCTTGACAAATGCCAGTCAGTCCAGAGTCCTGTCTCTCCCCGATTATGCTGGTCTCCCGAGACTCAAACCTGGGAGTCTTCCCTAAGCCCTAAGCCACACCCCCCTGTGCTGGGCCTGCCCTCCCCACGGACAGGGTTGTTTGGGAGAAAGAGAGAACAGAGATCAGGGAAGGGGAAAGCAAGCAGGTTCCTCTAGGGGATAAGCACCAGTATCCGGTTCTAGAGTGTGTGCGAGGCATAGAGAAACAGAGCCGCCTCACATGCCCCACAACATAACCTCACTTAGCCTAGCTCTATTCCTCCTAAGGCAGCCGAGAGTAGCATCCAACCCTCCACCCTGCTCGGGCTCACAGGCTTCTGTGGGGCAGCATTGACTAGTTAACATTTCCACTACCATGAACTACCACAGAACAATATTAATGACAGTCTTAGCCCCCATCAGACCAAGATTCGCCAATAGAATGGGAAACCCCCTGTTAGGGGCAGCCTCTGCTCCTCGCCTGGGAATTCTCCAGTTTACCTCAGTCATGCCTCAGCCAGTTAAGTGAGGAGATTGAGATAGAATGAGAAAAGATTTTGCTGGAAAAAGTCTAGTATTTTTATGTGCACGATTCACAATAATACAAAGAACGTGCTGTGCAGAGGAACAGAAAACCAAAAAACAAAACAAAAAAAACCAGAAGCAGGCTGGACTGTGTCTCCCTTCTCTGGTTGTCCTCGTTGCTCCTGTCCCTGTAACTGCAAGAGGGGATCAACACCTGTTAGGCTGAACTGCAAGCTGCAAAGAGAGAAACCTGGGGAGGAGGAAGGAAAATGCTTTTTCTCTTCTCCCGTGGGAGAAGCTGCTGCTCTTGTGATGAGAAAACAAACCATAGTTAAAGAACAGAAACAGAGACATACTGGAACAATGCACAAAGTACCCAGTGATCTGAGAGTCCCCATGGCCACAAGCTGGGCACAGGCATGGGAGCTACAGGCCGTATTGAGTGTTCTCCGCTCAGAACAAAAAAAAAGATGGAGGGATAGGAAGATCGGGCCCCTGAATGCTGGAGAGGCAAGGTGTCGTTTATGTTCTAGAAGCAGAGAAACTCCTGTGATTAAAAACTTAACTATTAACAGCGTATTGGATTGATTCAGGGAGCTTCAGGAGTGGAGTGTGACAGAGACAAGAAAGACAACCCAACAAGCTACCACCGTACGCAGCCGAGCCCAGGTCTACGGGGAACAAGGAAAACACAGAGAACAAGTACTTCAAACTCACCCCCCACCCCCAGTACCGGGTCAGGGACTTGGTGTGTCCGGCACTGCCACCTTTTAAGCCACGACCTCCTCCTCCAGATTTTATTTGTGTATGTGCATTTATGTATGCGGAGGTGTGCCCGAAGAGGACAGAAGGAGGTATCAACTCTCTCGGAGCTGGAACGACAGGTATTTGTGAGCTGCCTGATGTGGGGGTTGGGATCCGGTCTCTGGTCCTCATGACGAAGAAGTAAGTACCACTAACTACTGAGCCATCCTTCCCAGCTCCCTCGGCTGGCCTTGTTTGGTTGCTGCTCTCCTGCCTGCCGAACGTACGTACTTGCAGGAAGAACAAGCCCTGGCCTCCTTCGCAAGTCTTCAAGCATTAGGAAGCAGATGCTGGCTGAGGTAGAGCTTTGCCAACCAAGGGTACTAAGAAGGTAAGCGTGGGTTCCAACTCTCAGCCACGCAGAAGCACTGGGTACGAAGGAAGCCGGCCGAACTTTAGCCCCTGGAGCCCGAGGGCATCTCGGCAGATTCCGGGTGTATGATGAATGTGAGCGAGCACTGGCCTACTCAGGATGTGTACTGCTGGAGCCCACGGTTGAGTGACGTTTCATTCTCTTAGCGTCACAGGAAACAGAGCATGTACCTTCTTCAGATAAACGCCGCTGAGTGACAACAACCGTCACACCAACCGTTTTTGTAAGAATCCAGACTGGCCAGGCAGTGGCGGCGCACGCCTTTAATCCCAGCACTCGGGAGGCAGAGCCAGGCGGATCGCTGTGAGTTCGAGGCCAGCCTGGTCTACAGAGCTAGTTTTAGGACAACCAATTTGACACAAAGAAACCCTATCTCAAAAAAAAAAAAAAAAATTCAAAAGAGTTTATTCCCTCAGTTTCTCAGAAAGGTTGTTGCAAACACAATGTCCAAACACTTTCCTCTCAGCTCTGGAGGGTGTTGAAGCGGTAGAGAACTCGTTCCTAGTCTAGAGAACCCAGACTTGGAAGCCTTCATGCCGGTATTTCCCACCATGTCCCACCTTCTGTTCTTACACAGGCCCAGGATTAAAGGGGACTTTGTGAGACACCGGGAAGAACTTAGTCTGCACAGGTACTCTTTGGACAGAAGAGTCCCGCTGTGCAGCAAGCTTTGGTATGCCTAGGCTTCCTGAGCACTGGGTCAGGACTTTGAGGTGAAATGAACAAGGACAACTTGACATTCTTAGCCCAGGCTACTGAGACGAACTGCACTCCAGAGCACACGGGCATGCTAGTTGGCATGGTAGGGCAACAGAGTATCTGGTTGCTATTACTGAGCCCACCCAGCAGGCCCCGGGAGATGTTCCCTTGCAAGGCTGAGCAAGATGCCCCAGGGCGCTCTTCTCCTGGCATCCAGAACTCTCTAGTAGACAAAGCCCCTGTTGCAGCCTCTGTCTCTATTTACAAAATGCTCACGCTTGATCACATACTTACTATAAATAGTAATTTAACAATAACCACCTGCATCCCCTTACAAGGCGCCCCTGGGGGCTTCGGCCTTCTGGTTTCCTGCCAAATGTTAAGTCTGGCCTACCTGACAGCCCAAGATGCTGAACAGCAGCACTCGGGCTTGAGCCTTGACCCATCTTCAAATCTGAGATGTTGAGTTAAGGAGACACACCTTGAAGTCATCAGCATTGGAAGCAGGCTCTGCTGACCACCCTCTACCTCTAGCACAAAAATGTATGCCTCCCATATCTCATCGCTAGTCTCAGATTTGCCTCAGTTTCTCCTGCTGTCTTGCTATTCTCTTCCCTCTCCCGCCAGGGCTGCCGAAGTCCCAGGTTCGTTTTCTTCCACACTCCTCTCCCTTTAAGCATCCCATTGGTGCCCAAGCTCTCCCTTAGGCATTCTCTGTGCCCAAGGACTGATCGTGATCGTCATGCTGTGTCTGCCTCCAGCCAAAATCTCTTGGCTTAGCCCTGCCCAGGCCCTGAAGTGCTGAGAACCTAGCCATGATGCATAACAAAGAAGACAAAAGTAGTGACACACAAGGGCACACCCACCTCAGTGGTACCCACAGAGGGAAGGCCTGGTAGCTCAGGGCAGCTGCCCAGAACCTGTGTGCACGAATCCGCTGAAGAAGAGGTTTGGGCCAGTGGAGGTTTCAGAGTCCCCCTTTCCACTACTCAGCACAATTCTACTTAGTGACCCATGTCTAAATGGCCAGCAGGGGACAGGAGACCCTCACACGTGAGCTCTAGTGCTTTCCCCAGCGTCCTTCAGTTCCACCTACCGACTGCTCACCTCGTTTTTTTCTTCTGCCTTACCCTCTCACCATCCACCCACAGGCCAGCCTGCCAGCCAGGTTCCAGGATGAGGAGCAGCGATTAATTATTAAAGCAAACAAAAGCATTTCCTAGCAGGGAGGCTAGCCTGCAGCTGCTTACAGGAAAGACATCCCCAGCAGCCTTTCTTCTCTCGGGCCTTACTCCTGGGCAGAGACTGCCTGAGCCCTGCAGGGTAGGGCTGAGCAGACCCCTCTAGACCCCCCAGCCTAGGAAACCCACCAGAAGGACCAACGTGCTGCCCCTGGGCTAAGCCCACAGGCAGGAAGACCTGTCTAAGGAGGAGGATGGAGAACAGTCTGCGGCTAGCTCTCAAGAGAGGAATTCCTATTGGTTCAGGTCAG